CTCCTCTGTGATACAGGGAATGTGTGGAGGATGGAGATCGACTCCCAAATTGTAAAGTCATTCTACAAACCTCCCATGTTTACCCCAAATGCCAGTGTATCATCCAGATAAATATGATGCTATGAATCCATCCAAATACTAAAAGAGTGTCTCATTTCACCCTCTTTAACTATTTTTAAGATAGGTTATCATGTATATGAGGCGAGCCTCAAACTCACTATGCAGGCAAGGATGGCCTTGAGCTTCTTATACTCCTGGTAAGATTACACACACATGCCACAATGTTTGCAGATTTCGTGGTGGGATCAAACCTAGAGCTCCATGAACACCATGCAGTCAGCCATGCTACAGTCTGGTTCTATTTTAACATTTATGTCTTATTTTTTTTTAAAAAAAGAAAAAGCATTGTTTAGAACAATTTTTAATTCTGAGCAAACTGAGCTGAAAGTATTGAGAGTACCCACACATCTCCTGCCTAGACAAATGTACAACCTTCCCTACAGGGCCACCCATGCTCCAGGTGGCAGGTTTGTGACAACTGTCACACTTCCACTGATGCACTCATAGCTTACACTAAGGTCCATGCTGGGAAATGTGCAAAAGCACAAAGTCAGGTACACCCACCGCTGCGGTATCACTCAGAACAGCTTCACTCCTTAAGAATCTTCTGGGCCCTTCTTTATCCCGTCTTTATCCCTTCTCTCTCCCTTAGCTCCTCAGTTGCCAGTCTTGCTCCTGGCACCATAACTTTGCCTCCTCCAGAAGCAGGAGCAGGAGCAGGCGCAGGACAGTGTGGACCTGTCCTGGGTAACTGGTGCTCTGCTGGAACAGCAAGAGCAAGGGCAGAAGGAAAGAGCAGCCAGTGCACACACTGCAGCCCATAGACGTCAGAAGGAAAGAGCAACCAGCGCACACACTGCAGCCCATAGACATCAGAAGGAAAGAGCCAACACACACTCACACTGCAGCCCATAGATGTCAGAAAGAAAGAGCAGCCAGTGCACACACTGCAGCCCATAGATGTCAGAAGGAAAGAGTCAGCCAGCGCACACACTGCAGCCCATAGAAATCAGGATAGAAACTCAAGCAGGGAGGAACCTGGAGGCAGAGCTGATGCAGAGGTCATGGAGGGTGCTGCTTACTGCCTTGCCCCCCATGGCTTGCTCAGCCTGCCTTATTATAGAACCCAAGACCATCAGCTTAGGATGGCACCACCCACAATGGGATGAGCCCTCCCTCATCAATCACTAATTAAGAAAATATCCTACAGTCAGATCTTATTGGAGGCATTTTCTCAATTGAGGCTCCTCTCTGGTGACCCCAGCTGTGTCACGTGAAAGCTGTGTCACGTGAAAGCTGTGTCACGTGAAAGCTGTGTCACGTGAGGCTCCTCTCTGGTGACTCCAGAGGTGACATCCCACTGCCAGGACAAAAACCTTTCTAGATTCAGTTCTTCACTTAGTGACAAGTGACAAAAAGTTCTCCTTGCTTCCTGTGGCTTCATAACTCACTTTTCAGCACTGAATAATATCTGGTTGTCTGAACTGACCATAGCTCATTTTTACATTCACCTGTAAAGGGAACACTTGTTTGCTTCCAAGTTTTAGCAATTACGAAGAAAGCTCCTAAAAAAACTTATATTCCAACTCCAGAAAATTGTCCTCTGATCTACACATGCATATTAGGTACAAAACTTGAAGAAGAAAAAAAACCCAGAAGCCCACTCCCACGCTCTCCAGTATGCCTTACTTTGTTGGTAGCTCTTTCATTATCCTCACACAGCCTTTCTTAAAACACCCTTAAAACACAACTCTGCCTCAAAGAAAGAAAGAAAGAAAGAAAGAAAGAAAGAAAGAAAGAAAGAAAGAAAGAAAGAAAGAAAGAAAGAAAGAGAGAAAGAGAGAAAGAGAGAAAGGAAGGAAGGAAGGAAGGAAGGAAGAAGGAGGAGGAGAAAAGAAGAAGAAGAAGAAGAAGAAATTAAAAATTAAACCTAATGTTTTATTTAGGGGAAAATGTTTAATTTACTAGGAAAGCAAAATGGGTTATACTTTAAAACCAATAGCATAGCCCAAGCTTCACATAAGGATGAGTACGACTTCTCTGCATCAAATGTCCTGAATGCAGAGATGGAAGCTGCTGCAGCCAGAACCAGTTCAATCTCAACAGGTTCCAACCATTGAAACACCAGCTAAGGTGAGAGACTGGCCAAGGAAGGGGCCAGCAAGATCCATGGAGACTGTCTCTGAATTCTGGTACCTCCAGAACAGGTAGACAGGACCAGAGGAACCCAGGGAAGAGCAGCAGCCACACATTATTATGGAGGTCACGGTGCACACAGTCCACTCCCAGAACTTCTGTAACCCCTGTCCATGACCCTGGGCACTACGAGCACAGGAGGAACACTTACGTTCCAGCCAGTCAACAGCTGGTGTTTGCCGCTCCCTAGGAAAGCCCTGGAGGTCAGGGAGTGGGGCGGTGGGCATGCTGCTGGCTCTGGGTCCCAGTGGCATTGAGGACAGTTTCCCTCCCCTCCGAGGTGAGAATGGGTGGGCTTACCTACTCTTGATTTTGTCACCTTCATGGGAAAAGAGATAGCAGTCTCCTGCCCAGTAACTTAGAGAAAGTGGCCTCTGTGGGCTTTGATGGTAGAAAAATAACAACAAAAATATCAAGGACAAGTTTGTCAATTTGCTTACTTTCCCACGGCAAAAACCGTCAGCCCCACGGTGATTTTCTGTCTGGCGTAATACTTTTCCAGCCGAGCTCTGTTGTAAGTGCCTTCCCACACAATTGGCGCCTTCCATGGGGTCAGCGTCAAAACCTCCGGGCGGTTCCTGGTGACAAAGCAGGCAACACTGTGTATCAGAACCTCTCTGCTAAGGTGAGAGACTGGTTAAGGAAGAGGAGGCTAGCAAGATCCTCGGCAACTGGCGCTGGATCCTAACTGAAGCTTCATCCCAGAATGCTTGACGAGGAGGTGTGATGTTCGTGTGCTCAGGCACCTTCTCAGATTCTCATCATAAGACACTGTCTACTCATGTAGCCATGACTGACCCCAAGCTCCCCAGCCAAGGATCACCCTGAACTTCTGACTTTCCTCTTTCATCTTCCAAGTGCTGGGGTTACAGGCGTGTACCCCCAAACTGCCTTTAGGATGTGATGGGAATAGAACTCAGGTCCCATGAACGCTTGGTAGGCACCCTACCAGCTGATCCACATCCACGGCACCTTTGCGTTTCTCTCCAGCCCTAACTGACATGTTTAGTTTGTTATTTGCCCTTGAGAATATCATCAGGGTCTAAGAAGACCCTAAGATGTGATGCAGGGGGATGAGAGAAAGAAGTGGGAGCTGAGAGCCTCTTCCTGTTTGTCCCATACTCGGGGGCTGCTGCTGTCATCAGCCTGCAGGGTAACACACTCTAGAGATGTGGGTCCCCTCCCTTAGGCTAGCAGGCTATTGAGACATGTACCTGGAGACTTCTCCAGCAGTCTCCTGCTATGGGAAGAAAAAAGCCCAGGCCTGCAGCAGCCAGAGGGAGAGCTTCTCTTGCTAGGACAAGGTCTCGGAAGTTCTAACAACTTGTGAAACCATGCAGGACAGGCTGCTGTGGGGACAAGGATGGCTCAATGGTGGGCAGGACCGTGCATCTACCAGTCAGTTATGCACACTCTTGCCTAGTACTTAAACTTAAATGTCAGTCAGTGCCCCCAAAGACAGAGCTAGGGGTCACTAGAATCCTGATGTGTTCCTCTTCCCAATATGGACACATCACATGATCCCCCTCCTCATTTTCACCATCCTCTCACTTTAAGAACTTTAAAAAACTTTGCACATGTGGAATGCATGCATGTCTGTATGTCTGTAAGTGCAGTGTGTGTACGCTCAAGGTTGATGTTGGCAGTCTTTGTTCCCTAAGACAGTGTCTCTCATCTGTGTGGACTAGCCTCCCCACTCAGCTGATCCGGGAATTCAGTCTCCCCTGAGCAGTGAACTCCCCAGCCGGCTGTCACACCCAGCCAGCATCTCACACGGCTGCTGGGGGTCTGAACTCTGCCTAGAGCAGAGCAAGAGCTTGGTCCACACATCTTCTCTCCAGTCCTAGTCCTGTCTCTTTGGTGCATCGTCAGGGTTGCTCTGGATCACTGACGTTACCAACTCCATTTACAGACAAGGACACAGAATGCCCCAAAGGGAGGGACTTCCTGGAGCGGACTTCCGGCACGGCCGGAAAGCAGGACTCTGGCAAAGACCTTTTCCTCGGCCCACAGTCTCTTCACTAGGAACACAAAAGTGAGCAGGAGGCTTGTTTTCATACTCAGAAAGCTCAAAAGAGACAGCAACATCAACAGGGAGTCAGGCAGATAGCAACAGTGCCTCGAAGATTGAGTGCGGAAGGACAGGAGGCAGCAGAGCCGAGCAGGGAAGAATCTAGGCAGGATTGCAGTGTAGACTCAGACTGGAGCTTCAGAGAGGACAGGCCCTGGCTGGGTGGAATACATCCTGACCAAGTTTGCTTGGTTTTGCACAGTGTTTCCTGGTATTTAAACCCAAAGAGAACCAGCTCCCGGTGTGACACCCGTCCGTGTGGTCCTGGACCTACTTGTGTTTCACAGGGAAAAGCCACCAGTGGGGCGGCAAGTGGGTCTGGAGGGAGAATGAGACAGGACCCGCACTGATCCTCCCTGGCTGTGTGCACGTGCCCTGCTGCTGGAAGGAGCCAAGGCAACTGTCCCCTGCACCTTCCACAGCAGCTGGAGGGCGCGTGTGCACTAGCTTGTGCCCGCCATCATCACAGCTGCTATGCGCGCCAGTGAGCCCAACAGGCAGAGTGGGGAAGGCGCCCTCACCAGGCTCTGCTCGCTGACTCTTGAGATGACCTTGCCCCAGCCTGTGTTGCCTCTTCCTTCCCCAAGACAGCAGGAAGTACCTCTTCTTGGTGTAGTGGCAGGGCAGGGAAAGACCACTGGCCACCTGCTCTCCAACACACCAGGTGTGCCTGCTGCAGTGTGCACACAGGTGGGTGGGGACCCTTCTGTCATGAGAGATGACACAGTGGACTCTGTGCCAACCCTAGCCGGGCTCATCCTTATCATGGGCCTGTGACATGCTGTGTCTATTATCCAGCATGAAAAGCAAAGCTCAGAGAAAACCATGTAATGGGTCACAGATATTGACAATTACATAGATGCACATGGAGAACGTCCTGTGAGTCTTGGCACCGAGTGTTTCTCTGAGACGGGTCACATCTGGTCAACTCTACCCAGCAACTCATTAGGCAGTATTACCTGCCAGTGGTCTGAACCAGAATCTACAGTGGGTTACATTATATCAACGCCATGTGCAAGTAACTAATTGGTTCCTAGCTAATCAGTGAAGGACTTGGAACAGGAAGGTTAAGTAACTGGCCCGAAGTCACATAGCTACCAAGGGGGAAAGCTGAGACCCGAACCCAAAGGGCCCCAGTCTCTATTGCTCCTTACATGGACACTAGCAACCCCACGTTTGCCTTTGTCCACAATGGCTGCTGTGGTGTCTTTTCGTTACTGCCGTGCTGAGCCTTTGTGTGGCTATGTCAGGCACTCGCAGGCCTGGCTTTGTTGGAGCTCTCTTTAGCACTTTGCCCTGGCGACATTTAGTCCTGTTGTATTCTTGCTTTACTGAATGACAGGATTTCAAAACAAATAAACATACACAGATTCTCTTTCTCAAACCCCGCATTTGTGAACTTCACCTCCTTCAGAGACCACAGCCTTGTTTGCAGGTGTCAGTTTTGGCCTGTCAAGGAAGGGCGTCTCAGGAGCCAACCAAGCCAGCATCCTCAGTCAGTCTTGATGCTGTGTACGAGCCACAACATTATTTGCTATTGTATATGAGCAGGCAGTAAGTCTTCTTAATGGAAAGAGGGGGCAGGCGCACATTTAACATTTCTTCCTGTGCACCAGGAGCTAAGAACAAGCCTTTCACTCCTGCATTTAATCTCGGCACCAGCCACTGCCAGCACCCACTTTACAAGTCAAGTGAGGCCATGGAGGGGGAGGGGACTGAGAGCCAAACTGAAGTTAAGTACTGGCCCACAGAAGTGACACCTAGTCCTTCCCTTTGAGTCCCAGCGAGTGCCCAACCTGCCGCCACCCTCAGCCACATGGCCTCTCAGGCTCCACCTTCTAGAATCCCAGTGATCACTTCGGGTACTTGAGCAGGAAGACAAAACAACACTATTAAAAATTAATGCTAAATTAAAAATCGAAACATTCCATTTCCCAGCAGTTAATTGTTCGGTTCCACTGACAATCCCAGCATGATGGCCACCCTTGACTGAGAAGCCAGACAGCCTGGAAATGCAGGTGAGGGGGTGGTGGAAGGATGAGGGGGAGGCCGGCTTCCAGAAGCAACCTGTGCATGAGGCAACTTAGTCATCAAATCCCGCAGCCCCATCCCCCAAGGAAACCACAGCCAGTGATACTATCAACTGCCTTAGTCAAGATCAAACAGAGTTCTAAAAGGAGGGAGGAAAAGGACCTTCCTTCTGAATGGGCACTCAGCACTGTGTGACCTCTGCACCCAGCTCCACCATACACAGCAAAAGCGTCCAGAAAAATCATAGACCTCCTGGGGGGTAAAAGTGGGTCTAGGGAGTTGGTTTTCAATTGTGTGTATTTATGCACAGGTACATTAATGGTAGCCAGAGGAAGTATTAAAATCCTGTGAATTAGGCCAGCAAGATGGCTCAGCAAGCAAAGACACTTACGGAACCCTGACAAGAAGAGATTGATTCCCCAGAACCCACAGAGTGGAGGGAGAGAACCAGCTCCCACCAGCTGTCCTCCGCCTTCTCCGTGCTCACAAGGAAGGATGTATTTAAAACTCTAGCAAACCACATAGCAGACTGAGGAAAAGATGCAGGACTGCATCACCCAAGCACCAAAGAGCATGGCAGTCTGAGCAGGGGTGGTGGCTGCGGAGTGGAGAAAGCTGCGGAGAGAATTGGGAACAAGAACCGATAAAAGAAGGAAGCCGTGATGGACAAGGAGCCGCTCTCCTACGCTCAGACTGAACTGTTTGCTGAGACCAGAAGTGAGAAACAGGGTGAGGTGGAATTGAGAAATCCGTGTAGGTCGCATGAAGCAAACAGAGATGGCAGGCAGGCAGGCAGGCAGGCAGGCAGATACAGGTCAAGGCTCAGACACAGCTGGGAGAGTCAGCGTCTCCAGGCTACCGGATGCCAGGAAATGGAGAGAGGTATAATGGGAAACAGAGCAGGGAGAATCTGCCGTGTGGAAATGCGTAGAAACTCCGGGGCAGGGAGACGGAAAGCAGGCACAGTGATGTGGAAATACGCAAGCCCTGCTGTACTGGCTCTGTGGGAGTTCACAGGAAGGCACTCATTCATGTGACATAAACATGCACATTTACTCATTCTTTCTTTCATCTGGTCTTTATCTACGAGAAAGATTTTGGAATCTTGAGAAGGTTTCAATGTGATGGTGGTTCAAACCAATACTCTTTATTTGTGTGTGTATATGTAGATGTGTGTGTGTGCATATGTAGATGTGTGTGTGCATCTGTGCATGTGTATGTAGATATGTGTATGTAGATATGTGTATGCATGTATATGCATGCTACTGCATCTGGCTTTGCATGGCTTTTAGGGATCTAAACTCCAGTCCTCACACCAATATGGCAAGCACTTTATCCATGGCACCAAGACCCTAGTTCCTGTTTTGTTTTAAAAGCCGATTTAGGCTAGTTTCTGAAAACATGAGTAGGTAATGAGTACAGTATGGAAAATACAAGCTAACATATCCTAATTTCTGATGAACATTTGTTGTTTGCTAGTGTGATGAGTGAACTCATGGCCCTGAATCCCTTAGCTAGGATTCCTATGTCATGGATTAGTTAAGTGAATCTACAGAGCGTCTTCTTGGCCCACCCCAGATCCTGCAGAGGTCCACACCGTCCCATGTGGCCTATGTGCGCTCCCTACCACTCGCCATTTCTTATTGCAGTTACCACACTAATCAGTCCGTTTGGTTCCAAGTACCCAGACCTCAGTTTCTTAGCCCAAGTCCATGGATGAAGGTCTAATCGATGCTAAGACACCCCTTTCCCAGGGGACCACACTTCGTGTGCCCCAGTCCCGACTTCAGTGCACACACAGTCTCTGTCCTGTCCTTACTTTGGGCTAAACCAGTCCCACAGCGGAAGCTCTTCAGTGCTGTCTTCATTTCGTTCCTTTTCTCTTCCTCTTTCTAGGGCTTCTTCTGGATAACTGCGGGTCCTGCGTACAAAGAGAAAGGCCAGGTAAGGCCAGGTGAGGCCAGGTGAGGCCAGGCGGCTGGCGGCGGGGACTCTTTCGAGACTCCTGTCTCAGGAGAATGCATCACTCGGGGCACTGAGTGCTGATTCTCACACTTCAGGTAAAGGTGCAACATTTGTCCCTCTTGTCACCGTGCAGGTCAGCAGTTAGGTTTCAATGACCCTGCAACCCTCGGTTATTCCAGGAGTAGGACATACTCCAAGGAATGAATGTCCTATTGGAATGTCTATTCTGAAATTTAAACTTCAGTCTTAACTTCACCCTTAACTGGAAAAAGGGAACTGGAGGGAGGGAGGGAGGGAGGGAGGGAGGGAAGAAAAGGAGAGAGACAGACAGACAGACAGACAGACAGGCAGGAAGGCAAGAGGACTCAGAATCCCACCTGCAAGGTAGATTCCTCTGAACTAGATGGCTCCTTCAGTCAAACTGCTTGTCAGGAAAGTCTGATAACCTGATAGTCTGACCTCCAGAACCCACAGTGGGAAGACAGAATCGTAGTCTCCTAAAAGTAGTCTTCTGACCTCATGTGTGCTGTGGCACGCATGTATCTGCATTCATGCACAGATCACACACACACACACCACACACATACTCACATCCCATACACTACACATATGCATACACACACATACCACACACACATCCACATCACTCATACACACACACTCATCACACACATACACACATCATACAATCATATACATACATCACACATATATAAACACTATACACATATATCACACATAAATACACACACTACATATACACATCGCACACACACACACATAATACAGAGCACACACACAATAACAAAAGAAATTAAAAGCAACAACAAAAGACTCCTTGAATGAGTTCAGTAAGCCAGAAAGAGTGAGTGAGAAAGCCATGGCTGAGTGTTAGGGATGGAGGGACCCATTCCGACCCCTTACCTATTGTTAAACCAGTTTGGAAGCCACCAGTCCCTCGACCTGCTGCTGTCACCAAGCTCTGGAGTTCTAGGAAATGGAAAAGAACAGAAACACTTTTAGAAAACAAGGCGGTCCCCAGCTGGATGGAGGGAGTTTCCAACATTTTTTTTAAGTGTCTAATACGACTATTACCAGTGAACAGGGAGAAGCAAAACTGTGAACTACATGGGAGGGACAGACCCAGGGAGCCTCAGCTGCCCGCTTCCAGGAAGCCCCCAGCACTCGGTTCATCCCCGGGACCCCTGAAGGATGAGGGGCAGGAACATATGATAGGGACCACTCAGACACAGCCTGGGCAGAGCTCTGCTGCTAACGGAGCACCTGTGGTGGTGATCAATGAGAGCTCACATGTGAGAGCTCGGTAAACCGAACATGGCTGTAGTGAGGTGAGGGGTAATCTTTTTTTTTTTAAATAATCTATTTGTATTTCATGTGCATTGATGTTTTTGCCTGCATGTATGTCTATATAAGGGTGTTGGATAGCCTGGAACTGGAGCTACAGACAGTTGTGAGCTGCCATGTGGGTGCGGGGAATTGAACCTGGGTCCTCTGGAAGAGCAGCCAGTGCTCTTAATCACTGAGCCATCTGCCCAGTCCTTTGGGGGTAATCTTAGTTAAAAAAACAACAACAACAACAAACCATGCACTTTCCCAAGAACAATAGTGCAAGTGTGCATGCATGCGTGTCTGTGTCTGTGTGTGTGTGTGTATTACAAAAGGCCAGTCTGAGAAAAATTCCAGTTGCCCAATCAGTGACAGCTTTGGGAAGTCCGAGGATTGCCAAAGGAGAAGTTAGAGAACCAGTTAAAACCATCTTAGCCCCAACTTGAGATAGTTTGTATATTCTCTCTCACTGTAAAAGTTTCTAATTTGGGGTCTCTAGGATGAGAAAAATGGGGGACGTTGGATAATGTGGCAAGGTGACCCTTAGCAGGGACACAGTATTAATGGAGAGAGGGGTCCTGTTGTACAGCTGAGGCTAACCCTCCCACTTGGCCGTTGCCGAGATGACAGGCACACTGCATCCTTCCTGGTTATGAAACCTGCCACAGAGTTCATCTGGAGGTGTCTGCAATGATCAATGACTAACGGTGTGGTTATAAGTGGGAGACAACGCAAGACTGAAAATCACAGGAAATAGAAAGGCCAGCAAGATGTCTCCGTGAGTAAAGGGGCTTGCCTCCAAGTCTGATGACCTGAGTTCAATTCCTGGAACCCACAAGGTAGAAGAAACATACCAAGATATCCTCTGATCATCACATGTACACACGCATGCCCACAAGCACGTGCACAGACACACACACACACACACACAACACAGACACATAATTTTTTAAAAGCGAAGCACTGGTGGCTGGGAATATCGCTCTGAAGGCGGAGCACTTGTTTCAGAGCACGGGGACCTGCATTCTGATCCCCAGCACCACACAGAAGTCAGAGAACATCTAGAATCCCGCTCTCAGTGGGGTTCCTGGGGCGGGCTGGCCAGCCAGTGTAGCCAAAAATTACGATCTCTAGGTTCAGTGAGAGACTCAGGTAGAGGATAATGGGGAAAGATCCTTGAAGTTGTCTTCTGGCCCACACTGGTGCACACATAGGTGAGCACACCTAGACACATGTGCACAGGCGTGCACATATCACACACACCAACCCCTCCCCCTGATTTGATGACTCCAGTATGGATTTTCATATGACCATAGCCATCCCAAATAAAAGTTTCGCATTTATTTTCATTTTTTCAGCTAAGGTATGGGTTTAGTGGGTTTGGGCCTGTGGCCAAGGTCCCTGAGCAGGTAAGGAAACACTTCAGATGTAATACCTGGGAATAAATTACACTCAAATGGAGGCAAGCAGTTAAGAACAATTTGTTCTGAGCTTCCTGGCAACCATGCCAAAGATAAGAAAGTAGAGCTTAATATAGCTCCTCCCTCAGTACCCCAACCAGAGCCTGCTACAATACCCAGCTGCCCCATCGGTCAGGCAACAATGATTCCCAGATGACAGCATTTGAAAAGAGTCACCTGGTCAGAACTGAGGACAAAACATGTTATTATTCTACAGAGACCAGTCTGGGGACTGGGACAGGCAGAGTACAACCATGAGCCCTGGGTCCTAGGCATCTGCTTGCTCCTTGCGTCTCTCCTCACTGCCCCTGCACAGTGGCCTGAGCACCTCAGCGACTATCATACTGTAGAGAACAAGAGCGCGGGTAGGAGACCAAGTGATGGAGGCGTCCGGAGCTCAGAGCACTTACTTTGTGTGGTTTATCCACAAGAAGGAGCCTTCTGGGCTGAGGGCAAACAAGAAACAAAACAAGTCACCTTACTTACTTCTCAGAGAGCCTTCACGGCCTTCTAACTCCTCCCAGGCTTCACCTCCCCTTGAGACCAGCGACAAATGCACTGGGGATTCCCACAGCACCACAAAGAATGGGAAGGGACTTCTGGCCATCTCAATTCCTGTTTTTTGCTTTGGGGATCCCCCCCCTCCCGGCCCTCCTTCTCTCGTTTGAGGTTGGTCAGTTGTTACAGACAGGAAGGTCCTCTTCTACCGCATTCTCCGATGCTGGGCAATGAGGAAGCCCGGGAAGATGGAAGCATCATTGCCAGCCACCCCACACTGAGGATTTATCTCTGCCCCCCTCAGGAGGCAGAGACCAGGACATTTAGTTCAGATCCCTTCTGCGGAGCAGACCCCAAGGGTGTTGCTTTAACTAGCCAAGGCAATGAAGCTAACTTGATGCCTGAAAGGCTAGGCCGGGACTTTAGGGGATTACCTCCCTTCCCTCATTCTCTAAGTACTTGCTGGTTATGTCCTCCACAACGAGTGAAGGGACTCACTGCCGGCCAGGGCAGACCCGGTCCTTGCCCACGAGTGCTATACAATGTAACAGAAAAGGCAGGCCACTCACATGGCTACTTGAGTCACTAACCAAGAAGTGTGGGCAAGCATAAGCAGGAGCCCTTCTCAGGAGGACCTGGCAAACTTCCTGAAGAAGGCAGCACACTCTGAAGGACGAGGAGAAGCTCACCAAGGTGAAAAGACATGAGATAAGAGTGTTCCCGAAAGAACAAACAGTATGCAGAGGCCCTGAGGAAGGATGCATCTGCAAGGAAACGGAGCCAGAGCTTGTGGGACCTTCTGGGGGTTCGCTGAGCAGAACTGTCAGAAAGCCAATGTGGAAAGCGTGGCTGCAGAGCAGAGCTGTAGGAGGTGGTGTGTGGAGTGGAGCAGCTAGGTGGAGCATGATGGCACTGACCAGAGAGACTTCTGGGGGCATAAACAACAGATGGGTATGGCGGCTTGAGGCCTGTAATTCCAGCCTTGGGCAGCAGGGGCCACAAGTTGGAAGCCTCCCTGGTCTGCACAGCTGTGACCAGATTACATATTGAACCTGTCTCAAGAAAAGCAAAAAAAAAAAAAAAAAAAAAGGTGACAGGCCATAGTGAGTGCCATACTCAACTATTCAGGTTGACACTGTGCAGTGTCAGGCAGAGACACTGTGCCCAAGTTCTACGCCTGACCTTGCTCATTCGGTAGATTCTACCAGGATCTCTTTGGCCTTTATCTCTTCTCCCCTCTTCCTCCCTGTGCTCCAGTGAGCAAGCACCTGCCTTCCTGCCCTCTTACCACCCCCCACCCCCACCCCTGCACCTGCCTTCCTGCCCTCTAACCCCTCCAGCTTCTCCCTGAGACCTGCACTCCAGGACCAGCCTTAAAGTTCCTGGCTCCTAAGCCAACGTATAGATGTGGGGCCCCGGTGAACTCAGCTCCTAAGTCAGCAGATGGATGTGGGGTCCCGGTGAACTCAACCAGGCACTGTTCCAGGAAATTTACACCCAGTGGCTTAGGGAATCCTCTCACCACTGCAGCCACTCTGTCCCGACCCTCACCCTGAAGAGCAGGGGCAGTCAGGAGCCTTCTCAAGGTTATTCTGCTAATGAAGTACAGAACCCCCATATCTGAGCCTGGGGAGTAACTAACTCCACATCTTGCCACAGGGAGGCAAGGAGGGGGACGAGACAATCAGCAGGGGGAGGAGACAATCAGCAGGGGAGACAATGAGGGGAAAGAGGGAGACATGAGTAGGAGGAGACATGAGAAGGGGAAGAGAAGGCTGAAGAGAAGGGGAAGGAGAATGGGGAAATATGAAAACAATGAGGAGAAGGGGAGACAAGGAGGAGAAGGGGAGATGATCCAGCATTCAGAACCCTGCTTGGCATTCGGGGCACTGTTTTGTAGTTAAAGGTCCCCAGCTTGTCGTATCACACCTGTTTGGCAGCCTCCCTTCTAACTCCTGCCCTCTCCCAGAGTCCTTCGCTGATAGCCACACTGAGCTGACACTTTAACAAGCACTCATCCGCCAGGCACAGCTCAAAGCCACCCCTTCTGTGCCTCCTGTCCTCCGAGCCCAGTGTGGTGCCTGTCCGTAGGGCCCGCTTCCTAAGCGTCTGATTGAATGCGTAAATTGAATCTGCTTCCAGGTCAGGCAGTCTCTGCCTCCTTGATCTCATGACCTCCTCTCTACTTCAGTGTCTTTCATCCACAGGTCTCACCAGTTCAGAGCAGGCATCCTATGGGCAAGAGCCATATCTGGCTTCCATGTCCTTGTGCAGTCGGCAGACAGAAGCTCTAGATGCCGTCTGGGACAGAAGAGCACCAGATCTAGTTCTACTTAGAACAAAGATACAGCCCCAAGGCTGGTTTCCATTTGGTCGCCTGAATCTGAGAGGTTGACTAAAGGAAGGGTTGTGTAGTAAGTAGAAGAATGACTGACTCACAGGTAGGTAACGGGGGAACCTGAGTCTTCCCCAAATGTGACCATTAAACTTGAGTCACCCAGAGTCGCTCGCACTTTACAGTTATCCTAAGGACAGGTGTTGTACACAGCCTGGCGCCCGGCACATGCTCAGTAACTGCCAGCCACCTTCATCAGATTGTTTGTCATTGTTCCAGCTCAAAAATATAGACCTGTACTTTCAAACATCTGTATTTTCAAATGCATCCCTGGGTGATTCTCTCTCTCTCTCTCTCTCTCTCTCTCTCTCTCTCTCTTTCTCTCTCTCTCGGTCTCTCTCTCTCTCTCTCTCTCTCTCTCTCTTTCTCTCTCCACTGTTAAAAATGTTTTAGGTGTTTTGTCTGCATTTACATCTGTGCATTACTCCTGTTCCTGATACCCATGGAGGCCAGAGGGTGTCAGATCCCCTGAAACGGGAATCAAACCTGGGTCGTCCGAATAACCATGAACCATCTGAAGGTGTCAGATCCCCCGAAATGGGAAACAAACCTGGGCCATCTAAATAACCCTGAACCATCTCTCTAACCCCTAGTATTATTTTTTGAGATAGGATCTCACTTGAGTCCTGACCGGCCCTGTAGGCAACATTATTTTTCAATGATTTATTTTCTAGTTGCTGGGTGTGGTTGCTTTAAATCCCTTGGAGCACAGAGCCACATGCCTCTCTACAGTGCACTGCAAGGCCAGTGTGGACAGTGGCAGACACCTGCTTCCTCTCAGAACTCTTGCAGAAAGTCAAGTGAGTTCATGAGTCAGAAACAAAGTATCTACAATGTCAATATCAAACAACAGCCCTGAAAAGTAGCCAGAGCCTTCTCTACTGTGATGCTCAGAACAGGTTCCTGGCAGCAAAACATAACTCTCCTGAGACGCCATGCCCATACGCGCTCTTGAGCCTTCATTTTTCGTGTGTGTGTGTGTGTATGAGACAGAGACAGACAGACAGAGAGAGAGAGATATGCATGTGTGCAGTACCTGTTAAAGCCAGAAGAGGATGCCGAAGCCCCTGGAACTGTGAGCTGCCCAATGCGGGTGCTGAGAACTAAACAACAGTGCTCTTAACCCCTGAGCCCTCTCTCTAGCCATCATGTCTTCATTTTATGAGCCATTCATAACACAGAGGCACAGTTACAAGTAGACAACACCAAAGCCATCTAATCAAACTCAGTTTCAGAGCTTGCCGGTTATCCAAACAAGCATTCCAGCCCCAGGGGGGCACTTGTTCTCTTGGACAACTTCAGCAGCTGGAGTCACCACGTCTACCAGCCACAACCTTGATGCCATGTTTTGCCCATTGGTGCAAATACTGCTACAAATGTTCCTACTGTGCAGTGAATGCCTGTGGCCACCCTAACTGTGTCTGTTGAAGCCCTGTCCCCAGAATGATGGCACTGGGCCTCTGAGAAATAACTAGGCTTAGATAGGCATTTAAATAAAGGTGGGACCTCATGATGGATTTAGCGTTTTTATCAGAAAAAAAAATTACAAATTGCTTGTTCTCCGTAAAGTATGGGCCAAAGGAGAAGGTCACTAGTTGTTTGCAAAACAAGAAAGCTTCACTTGGGCACTGAGTCTCGGGCCTTGAGCACACTGAGAAGTAAGTTCCTGTTGTCGAAGCCGCCCAAGTTGTGATGAGTGTTGTTAATGGCAGAGCAGGAGAGTTTCTTGTTTGCTCATCTAAGGCGTAGGGACCGAACCACCGCACAGTCTAGGCAAGTGCCCTACCACTGAGCTGTGGTTTTGTTCCTGTTTTTAACATAATGCCTTATTCTGTAGTGCAGGCAGACCTCAACCTTACTATGTAACCCAGGTTGGTTCCAACTCACAGTGATCCACCTGCCTCGGCCAGTCGGGTGTGGGGACTGCAAGCATGACCCAACCCCCTGGGACATTATCCCCGTTTTTACTGAAGAACAGGATAGCTGTGTAGCTGTCCCGAGGTCACACACACAGGCAGTAAACGGAAGTCTGGAACACAACAGGCAGTCTGGTTTTATGATCTAGCCAGGATGCTCTTCAGCCCCCAAGAGCCCAAGGGTCACACCCAACAAGTGAATCATCTCCTTCTTGAACTAACTTCCTCAATTCAAAGGACCCACTCTCCAGACCTTCCAAGTTGGTCACAGGCTGGCTTGTCCCGCCTTTTCTCAAACATAGCTACTCAGAATGAAACAGCAGAACATCCTAGAAGTGGTTACCAATCTGTCAACCCTTTGAACCTGTATCTCTTGCATTCTGACTGGAGGCCACCCCTCCTAGGCCTGTACCTAAGGACACAGTTGCTTGTTGTAGCCAGGGGAGGTCTGCTGGCTCATCCAACTTAGAAACCCAAAATTCTGATGTTAACCCAAAAGCACCAGAACTCTGAGGCCACTAAAACATTCCCACTGTGAAGATGAAGGCCATCTCAAGACAGCTCCTACAGTTAAAACATTCCCATTGTGAAGAAGGCCATCTCAAGGCAGCTCCTACAGTTAAAACATTCCCATTGTGAAGAAGGCCATCTCAAGGCAGCTCCTACAGTTAAAACATTCCCACTGTGAAGAAGGCCATCTCAAGACAGCTCCTACAGTTAGCTGTACAATTAAAGAGCTCATTGAGCCCCTTCTTAGGCACCTGCTGGGGCTTTGCTATGAAGCTGGGTCTCCCTGAGGCCACTGACACGGGAGCTTCCAGAAGCAGGGGCAGCACAGTAGGTTTTAATTGACAGATGAGTTTGATGACTGAGAGACATTTGCTTCATCCTGCTTTCCAAAGCCAAGGGAAGGAAGGGAGGGAGAGAGTGCTTCACCCAGGCAGAAATGAATCACCAGTAAAATGTAGTATGGATTTTTGCACCAAAGCCAACCACTTGGACAGCTCCGTTAAACTTCACAGACACTTTAGGGCTGCAGAACTTAGGGCTAGTTTTTTGTGGAATTCCTATCTGAATTTTATTTATTTTTCCTTTATTTTTAATTATTTTTAAATTTTATGTATGTGAGTGCTTTGCCTGTGTCTACAGGTGTGCACCACTTGTGTGTCTGGCACCCATGGAGGCCAGAAAACAATTCAGGATCCCCTGGAATTGAAGTTACAGGTGTTTGTGAGTCACCACATGGGTGCTGGAAATTAAACCCGGGTCCTCTGAAAGAGCAGCCAGTGCTCTTAACTGCTGAACCACCTTTCCTGCCCCTTTATTTTTCTTTTTTTTAAGTCAGGGTCTCCCTGTAAAGCTATGGCTAGCCTGGAAGTCACTATGTAGACAATCTTGGTCTCAAACTCATACAGTCCTCTTGTCTCTGCCTCCCAATTACAAGGATTCCATGCATACACCCCAACCTGGCTTAAAATTTGTATAAGTTTATACAAATTACTTGAGGCTGTTTTGGGCTTAATGTGCCTTCTCTCTGGGGTTAGCCTACAGAAATGCAAGGTATGAGGGAGCACGGTAAGAAAAGAGATGACTACTTTGGCAGAAGTTACCTGGACAGTCTGTGGTTTTAGCAGCCAGCCAGGGCTGGGGACTACAGGAAGGGTGGAATCCTGTTTACAGCTCATTCCTCGCCTTCACCCTGCCTGGTCACTCTGCTGGCACCAGTCACACCGAATAAAAGCAGCCTTTCCATCCCCACAACTCTAGCCGGTTTCATAATTACCTGTTGACATACTCCCAAAACACGACAAACACAGTCGAGACAACCAGCATCGACAGGACTACTTTTCCCTTGATATTCATTATTTTCTCCTGTGGGGGGAGGGGAAAGAGAGAGGGAAAATAGATTAAATAAATTAAATCTGGAGTGAGAGATGGCTTCTTGGGCTGGAGAAGCAGCTCAGCGGTTAAGAACACTTGCTGGTTTCCGTTCCCAGCATCTAAATGCACTCCCAGCCATTGGTAATTCGGGTTCCAGAGAATCTGATGCCCTCCCTCTTCTGGCCTCCATAGGTACCAGACACATGGGTGGTGTACACACACACAGGCAAAACACTCGTATATATAAATTATTTTAAATAATAAAAATAACAAAAGGCCTCTGCCCACATCATTTCTAACAGGATACATTTGTGTGCAATGCACTAGAGATGAGAGGTGTGTCCCTGCTCAAGTGCACAAATAAAGCCGATGTCATTAATGAGACTGCATGCTCTGGGAAGGATGCCAGAGCCGGAACCGGAGCCGGAGCCGGAGCCGGAGCGTCAATGTCAGCAAGTAAGGAGGTAGAGTTCCACAGAACTCCAGCTAGCTCAGATTCAGAGCACCTCTGGCTCTGGGGGAGGTGTTCCCATTCCCCAACTCTGTAGTTCCTGGAGTACTGAGGACACAGCTAATGCCCCTTTATAACCTAGGCTTTGCCCACTTTCCACCCCTACCCAGTTCGCTCCACCACACACCCACAAGCAAGCAAACAACTGGAACTACAGGAGGAAAATTGTGAAAGAAAGGGAAAGTGTTGCTTGGCAGGAAGGCTGGGAAGTCCTTTAGTGTGGGGTGATCAGGAAAGGCAAGCAGAAGGCACATGAAAGGTGACTGCTGGATACAAAGATAAGAGGTGCCCCTGTGAACAGCAGCCTAATGGGCTAGCCAGAGAGAGCCTTAGGACGGAGAGTGGGCAGGGGTGCACAGAGCTCTCAGAGGTCCACAGGGAGTTTGGGAGGAAGAACTGGATCTGTGTTCATGTGCTGAGGGGTGGGGAGAGGGTACCAGAACCCCAACATTAGTGGGGAGAGTCAGACACGTCTAATGGCCATAGAGAATGGGCAACTGGATCATGATCTGCATGTTGCTGTTCCTATAGTGGGAAGTTTTGATATAACACATTGATTGATACCTTACTACACTCTTCCGTGTAGGGAGAAATTGTTCCTGGAGACTTGCCGGCTCTCTGAGATTCCAAGAACTCAGACAGAATGAGCCTTTGACCCACAGTGAGCCAGTCATTCCGGAGCCAGGCCTCCTCCATCTGGTTCATGCACCTCACAAGGCAATAGGACCTGGCCTTATCACCCAGAGTGCCATAAACCTAGAGACCAAGCCCGCCAAAAGAATTGAGCAGATCTTAACTGCTCGCTTTGCCCTCCTGGCCGTTCCTGGAGATCCCAACTTCCAGCTCTCAGTATTACTATGGTGGGTGGTACTCCAGACACCCCAAGAAGAAAGGTTAGCTGAGAAACCTGTAAGAAGGCAGGCTGAGCAAACCATGGAGACCAAGCCAGAGCAGCACTCCTCCGTGGTCTTTACATCAGCTCCTGCCTCCTGGTTCCTGCCTTGAGCCCCTGCCCTGACTTCCCTCAGTGACGGAGTGTGACCTGAGAGTTGTAGGACAAAATAAGCCCTTTCCTTCCTGTTGTTTTAGACCATGGTGCTTATCACAGCAGTAGAATCCCTAACTAAGGCAGAGTTCCAGGGTCTGAACCCAGGTCCTCAGGTCTGGCAGCAAGCACCTTTACCTGCTGAGCCACCTCACTGGCCTCTTCCTTTTAGGTAGGTAGCTAGGAATAGGGCCTTTCATAGAGTTGGTTTCTTAATGAGCGCAACACAGACATAAACTGTGGGATCATCTCAGCAGAAACATCTGTAAACCAGCAGAAGGCTTCCAGATTAAGTCCAGAAGAGAGTGCAGAGACTAGATCCAAACGCTGTACATTAGCCAAACTGAGCTCGGAAGCCCTCCTCCTGCACACTGAGAGCCCAGCTTCTGGGTGACATAGTTAATTCACTGTAAGTTTAGCCCAGAGGCCATGGAGTGACCAGTACACAGCTGGTCCCCAACCCTTACTGTGATGCTGGCTGATCCCCAATCCTCACTCTCACATCCTAAGCCTGCTTCCCCTACCCTATCTCCCACCCAACCAGAGAGCCCCACACCCATTCTGAACCAGTGAGAAGCCTGTCCATGGGCTCCCTAGTTTACTACAGGTTCTAGCCCAGCAGACAGGGCAGAAAAACACCAGGCAAGGACACTCATCTTCCGGTCCCTCCTCACTTTTCAGAGGGCTGCCTTTCTACTTCCGGGAAGCTTTGCTTGTTCTTCACTAGCTCCTTATTCTGTGTGTAGGGTGATGACCTGGGTGACTGCTGGGTTTCCCAAGCCTTAGTCTGAGCCAAGCCCACCTACACCAAGAAATAGACCTCATCACACTGAAGGATGCCCCACTAGACCGAGAGCCAGAGAAGTCCCAGGTTGAAGGTCACACAGATCTGAGGCTGTGGCAGTAGATCAGGATTTGAGTCCTAACTTTACACAGGAAATTACAGTTTTTCAGTCTTCATCCACATCGCTATGAACACCTTGGAAAGCCAAACATCCTTTTGCAACTCAAGGGGCGGCTCAGCCCCGATGTGGGATGCCCTTCTGTATGCTGTGAATATGTTTTATTATCATTGGTTAATAAAGAAACTGATTTGGCCAATAGCCAGGCAGAATAGAACCAGATGGGAAATCCAAGCAAAGATGAAAGGAAAAAGAAAGCAGAGTCAGAGAGACACTAGCAGCCTCTGAAGAAGCAAGATGTGTGGTAATGCCATGACCATGTGGCAATACATAGACTAATTAAACTGGGTTAATTTAAATTTTAAGAACTAGGCAATAATAAGCCTGAGTTAATAGTCCAAACAGTTTGTAATTGATATTAAGCCTCAATTAATTATATTAATTAATTAATTAATTAATTAAATTAATGATATTAAGTGTTTATTAAGGAACTGGCGGGTGGGAGAGAAACCTCCAGTTACCCAGCCCCAACTGACATTCTATTCTATAATCTCTATCCCATTTGAATATTTCTATGGATAAACATTAATGTGTCCCATTGCTTGGTTCAGCTGCATGGGAACCGCATGGGAACTGCATGGAGGCTAAGCAATCCATGTGCCTCAAAGTCTAAATTCAACCTATCTGGGCCCAGAGTTTCAGATTAGGGACTAAGGACCTTGACTAGATCAAATTAAGCTGGTTTCCTTGTTTTGACAATGGGGATAAGAATAGTGACGGGCCAGGTGTGGTGGTGCACACCTTTAATCCCAGAACTCAGGAGGCAGAGGCAGGTAGACTCTGAGTTCGAGGCCAACCTGGTCTACAGAGTGAGTTCTAGGACAGGTTCTACAGCTTCTGAGAAACACTGTCTTGAAAAATAAAACAAACAAAAAAGATGACAGCTGTGTGTAAGCCACCAGAGAAACCTGAAACCTGAGCCTCATACCCAAAATGTACCATGGAGAGAGTGAAAGGCTCCTACATGGTTTCCTCTGACTACCATCTGTGCATTCTGGCATATGATGCAACACACACACACACACACACACACACACACACACATACACACACACACACACACACACACACACACACACACACACACCTTTAATTCCAGAACAACTAAGGAGGTGAAGCAGGTGAGTTTCAGGGCTACATAGTGAGACCCTGTCTCAGGAGAGGGGAGGGAGAAGGAGGGAAAGAAAAAGGGAGGAGAGGGTGACAGAGGGGGGAATCATAAAATAGGATACATGCTCTTTTAAAATGTTAGTCTTCATTACTGATGTTCATAAAAGAGGCTGCTGGGAGGGGGCTGAAAATGGGGGCTGATACTCAGAAAGTGCTCAAAATATTTGGAAGAAGGAGAACTCTGGGATAAAAACAGCTTATACAAATGGATGCAAATCAAAGTTTCACCATCTATATTGTAATGGTAAAAATAAAATGCAGCCGGATCCCCGAGGGGTGAGTCACAGCACCAACGCTATGGTAAAAACAAAATGCTGCAGACCCCCGAGTGGCAACAGTGGGTAGCGGTCCCGAGTCCATGGTGGGCCATGAAGGCAGCCGGATCCCAGGCAGGGAGCTGCATGGTGGGTGAGAGACCAAGACGGATAGGCACGCCATGCAGAGAAAGTGGGTATTTATTTAGTGGGTTATGGAAGGAAAGGGAAAAAGAGTGGAAGGGGAGAAGAGAGAAGAGCAGTAGAGAGGCAGAGGGGGAAGGGAAGAAGTGGGGAGAAGGTAGAGAGACAGAAGCTGCCTCATTGGGAGAGAGATGGAAAGGGAGAGACTCAGGCTGCAGGCAGGAAAGAAGAGGCAGTGGGATGTGGGAGGGAGTGGGTGAGGCTTGTCTCTTAAAGGGACAGGACAGACCATTACATATACCAGCTCAACCTGAAGAAGAGCTACTCTAAAGGGAAACTAACTCTAATTTTCTCTAATCAGGTTCTAGGACACCCTGTGCTTGCTGAGAGACAAGGGTGAGCATTGACTTCCAGGTTCGGCTGTGCCAACTTACCAAGGATCAAAGCAAAGCCTCTGCCAAGTAGAAGAGGGATGACACAGAGAGACAGTATTGCCTACGCCATCGGAGGCGGTCCAGAGCAGCACATCTCCCAATCCTCACTATGAACACCCCAGTAGGTGTGGGTGTTGCTGAAGCCCACAGACCATACAGTAAATGTACAGGTGACAGACCAATGGACTAATCCACGGGAAGTGTATATGTCCACATGGAATAACCCGTTTTGCACAGCTGCAGGAACACTTGTCTTTTGGAAAAGTCGCTGTCACATCTGTAAAAACCTTGTGAAACCATGATTCTTCTCTTTGAAATGGGATTCATTCCCAGAACACCTCAGCAGTGTGACTGCTGCACAGGCGGTGGAGTGACCTTTCCATTTCCTCACATCATGAGGCCTGAGAGCGATAACATTCACTCTTTGTTCTAACAGTCAAATTTACATAGAGTCAACCCCACAAAATTACC